GTACGCTTGGCCCCGAGAGATCCGATGACGTCACAGGCGCAACCTGGCGCGACGGATATCCTGAGACGCAACGCATTCTCCAATGGTTGACTTGGAAGCATCTGATCACTTACTTCTCAACGTTTTGCGCATATTTGAAGCTTCGATTCAGTTTCCCTTTAGGTCACTCTTTAGAAAAGTAAATTAAAATGTTTTCCATAAGAAAAAAAAAATCACAACCCTTATTACTCAACTCGCCTTTTTACATCCGATACCTGGCAAGAAAGAGGCGTAGGTAGTAATCCTGTCTTGAAACTACTGCCTCAAGGAGCTAAAACCCTTGAAACCTTGGTTGCTGTTTCGACATTTTTTGCGGGCAACCCACTCGAAAGGGCCGGACTGTTCCCGCAATGCCGCATGAAGTCCCTCCCTCCTCCTCCTCCTCCTCCCCCACGCGCACACAGACTTTTGCGTAAAGCAGGGAACTTCGGAGGCGTCCATTTTACAAAGTCGTATGAACGACTTCCAGTTCATCGAACCCCCTTTTAAAGAAACAAACTCTAGAAAAAAACGACGATATCGTTTGTCGGGCTCATTTCCGCAACCAGCTAGAACACAATATTAATAGTAACGAGCGTGTTGGTTCAAGTATTCATCTAGCGCAAAGAATAAAACGGGAAGAGGTGTTTCGTCCTCTTCCAGTTTTATTCTTTACGGTTTGGACCTTTTTCAAGTAACGAGCGCCTTCTGGGGGACTGTCCCCTTCTGTGTTCCTGGGTCTCAGGTTGTATTACCATGAATCACCACCAGCTAGCTTGTTTTTTAAAGTATTGTTGCACAAATGAAGGGCAGCCCAATGTCCAGAGCACATTGGCATCGTGCCGCGGTATCGGTTTTCACAGCCTTTTATGCTCCACTTTACCGATGCTCGAAAAGAATCGTCAAAAAATACGAAATACGCGCGCAAACTGTTGGTCGTGCGGGACAGTGCCCTCCGAAAATGGCGACAGTGGGAAGCAAGGCTCAGGGGAGAGGGTGCACGAATGCGTAGAGGCTTAAGGCCCGTTCACACTCTTGCGACCGAGTGCGACCGAGTACGACTGAGAGAGACGAGTTCTCTTAAAACTTGTTAAATGTTTTTAAAATGAGGGAACAAACTGGCATTGTGGCGCCATCTATGCGGTGACCCTGGAACTGCATTTCACAAGAGCGAAGGTTTTGCGGGATTTCCGAGGTCAAATGTGCGTAATACCCATAGAAAGGCTCGTTTATAACATTGACAAAAGTTTTTCGAGCCAAGAAAGAAAGGATAATGCGCGAGAAATAAAAAAAAATATGCCGGACCGCCGAGTTTACACTGCTTCCCAATAGATGGCACCAGTGTGTTTTCTGGTTTAAGAAGTTGTAAGGAACCTAGGTTTAAGAGGTCGCAAGAGTGTGAACGGGCCTTTACTGGAAAAAGGGCCCATACAATGACCGTTTGAGGAACTGCAGTAATCCCGCGGACGCCTGGCCAAGTTGAGGACGTTGTTTTGTTAACGTTGCTTGCCACAATAGAAGCAATCAAAGAAAATCCATTTACTACGATAATCCTGTTAGGTTGTCATAGCGCGGGTCTCGGAGAAAGTCATGTTACGTCCTTCATCACGTGGGCCAATGGTGCCACGGAATCTTGGCTCGACGTTCGCCAGGGAGGAAGCGCGCAGAAATCTCCGGATCCCAAGAAAACAGGAGAAGGAAATAATTCGTTATGCCCTCGTACGTCGATCAAAATTCGGCCAGTCCATTTCCTGCTACCGCGCCGATATTATTTTTGCGAATCCCCGGGATTGAACGACGAAGTACCATGTAGCGCGTAGCTTATTGTTGCGCATGGCGCACAGGTCATTTTCTCGAAGTATGCAAGAAGTGCCACATTTTGTTTTCTTCTCATTAGTTGTGCAATGTCCGAAAAAGGCCACGAATTACTACCAAATGCAGATGTCTACTCCCACCAAATCTCGTGAAAACCAATTTTGTGCACCTTAGTGTCGTCCCTGTTATGTAGCTGTCTAGCAGTGTCCCCTACTTGCATTCAAATAAACACCCACCAGGGTGCACTCTACAGTCCTGGGCAGGGACACAGTTCAACATGGCTGTCCTTTTATGTCTCCCGATTTATCACAACTACCACTGTATCACAACTGACAGTCGACCGATATCGAGACATAACAGTCCCGACAAATAAAATCATCCTACCCTGTCTTTAATGTGGTAGTGCTTATGTAAAGCCGGCTGTAGTGTACAGTGCAAAATTTGCATTACCTAGCTACGGCTACGTTGAACATGAAGAGTATGGACTTTCGTTTTTTCATTCTTTTCTGCTGCACTGGCTGGGAAATCTCCAAGAGTAAGTGCTCACAGAACCAACTGTACCTCGCACGTTTTTGAGACGCCATTGCAGTCTGTGAAAACCAAGTGGGCGTTATCTCTTGGCTCAACCACTACATTTACAACGATTCGCCAACGCCTTATTGAGACCTGAGACGTCCGTCCCGTCCAGCCGGACGGAAAAACGAACCCTTGCCAGAGCGCCGTTTCTGCCGACGCGTCAGGAGATGGCGTCAGGTTGCAATCTATCGGCGAGAGAAAACTTATCAGTGTCACAGGGAGCCAAAGCAACGCAGGCGGCTATTTTTAGTGGCCGCTCCCAAGCGCGATTAGGAAAGATTGGCTGCATCTTATAGATCTTCGTGCTGAATGAACTCTATTCCACGGGTGCGCCGCCCACAGTCGTTATGCGGACGGAACCAAAACAGCGGGGGCTGTCTGCAGTCCCCATCGACATCCAGTCAAGCCCTCGACCGGAAAGGGCTCACCCAAATGACTTGGCGGCAACGGAGGGCCACTAAATTAAGTTCATTCAAGGGTGCAAACAAACCGGCAAAGACTTTTTTTTTTTTTTTTTATTTATTTTGGAGAGTGTGAAAGCAGAAGGGACAGGGCAACACGAATCTCCAAGACCGCCAGTTGAGGTTGACGATGCCAAAAACCAGGCTGAAGAATTTCACCTCCTATTGGCGGTTTAGGAGATGCGTGTTGCCCTGTCCTTCTGTTTCCCCACTCTCCAGGGTTAAAAAAAAAAAAAAAGGAGAGAATTTGAAGGAGCTTTACAACCGCCACAGGTCCAGAAGCACGCAGGCATTCTAACTTGGTTCTCTTCCGCCACAGTCTCAAGTCCCTAGTCCCTAGTTTCGCAGGTTCCAAGGTCGAGCATTTCTTTAGTTTTCACCTTCGTTGATGCGAAGGGGTGCACATGCATCCAGAGGAAGGCAGGCAAGAGCGCCCTTGGAATGGAAAACTAAAGACAAAGCACGTCTCCCATCACAAATTTTGCGCCAAAGTGTCTGCATAACCCGACTTCACAACTCTGTTCTGACTATGCTTCCTAACTATGATTTTACGCATTTCGAGCCTAAAGGTGTCACTGCTGAAGCATAGAAGAAATCATGAGGGTGCCACTTCTGAAGCATCTCTTCAACATCAGCCCTTTTCTTCCCCGAGACAGGTGACAAACATGCACTTTACTACTACTCATCCACCGCAGCACCATTAGCGAGCATCGCACTTAGCCTCGCGAAGCCTCACGACTTGTACGACTTGGGCAGTCGCAATAAAAAAACAAGGCTAGACCCCCCCGCAAAATGCTTTGCCAGAAGTGAGCGAAGGCCCTCGTCTAGGGAGCCTTCATGTGCGCTTATGAAGGCACCCTACCCTCGTCATTAGAGGCCCAAGGTGGTCTGGTCTACGGGATATCCTTCATTACGAATGGGCTCATCGTGTCTGTGCGGCGGGAAATGTTCGCATGCAAGGTTTCCACCAAGCGACCGCGTCGCCATTAGCTGAGTCAGCAACCGTCTTCAGCGGGCATTTAGCGAGCAGCAGTGCTGATTTACGTAAGATATAGTACTAGAACGCCAGAAGCAGTATGCATGCAGCAGATGACCACGATGCAGTCCTCACGTACATACATATCTGATGATGTTGCGGGTGTTTTGTGACCCCGTTCTCTCTACGTTCCCTCTACATATGTAATTTCGATGTACGGTATTGCCAGCAGCGCATTTTGAAACGCAGAGGTCCGCGATGGCGCGATAAAATGATCGAAATTCCCAGAAACAGACGCCTCGGGATCCATGAATATTTATGAACAAGTTTTGTAGCTACCAGATATTTCCTCCAACTGTCGCAACAAGGACACGTTGTCACAAAGGGATGATCCCTTGCTAACATGGCTGTTTTCTCAATGTTTTAACATTCTAAACGATCAATATTAAGTAGATTTGTCAAAAATCTTGCACCACTAAGTAAAAAAAAAAGCGCGACACAAGTGCGCAAACTACGCCAAGCGATCAATCATACCAAACTGCGTATTAAAAAAAAAAATCATTTTGCGATGAATTTGTACAGGTTAAAGCTTGTTTGGCCAAACAGGTATAGCCAGGAAAAAAAATAACAGTCGCCCTTACCGCCGTGCTTATGTTGAAAGATGGATGCAATCTGCACAATCCTTAATCCCACACTACTCCGGTATAGTTCACGAACTGTGAAGGTGACCCGTAGTTTACGCGAGGTAAAATAACAACACCCCCGCAGTTCCGTTGCGCATTGTAGCTGAGCCTCAGCGAAGTTTATCCGTACCAGAACGAACTCGTGATACGGTCACACCGAGACGAAACACTCCTGTGGCAACGCCACACAAATCAAGAGGTATAAGAAAACAAAAATGAACATAACAGCGACTGCCGTAGCGGACAAAGTGGCGCGGGTTCTTTGGTTCCAGACTAATAATTCTCTTTTAAAAGATATTACATTTCTCGCCACCAAGGAATGTGTTCAAAGGCAGCTCGCGAATCGTAAAGGCTCAAGTGAGTAAAAGTACAGAAGCCAGACAGTCTTCATAGCAGCGCTGTTATGCAACGTGCAACGTTTCGCCGACAGCTTAAAAGGCCGGCGGAGCGCAGAGAAACTTAAAGGCTTACCTTCTTCCTCTTCTCGGACATCATTTTGAGATGCTTTAGAGAGCTTGCTTTGAGACCGAATGCAGTGGACCTTCCTGAATTTCGCTTTTCTAATAGCACGAGAGAGAGAAAGCGTGCCGTATGAGGTCGAGGTTCTCTTTTGTAGCTCTGATTCGGGGCTTCGCTGACTGCGTTACGTACACTACCCCAGCTCCGCTCCCCGAATGACGACAGAGGAGGCGTGCGTTAGTGACGTCAGTTGCCCTGCCGCTCATTCGTCGAGAAACTTCACGCCTCTCACGTGACGCATTTTCGTAGAAATTCTTTTATCCTTCTTCCTTCGTCGACACCCGAAATCACCGAGTGTCGGCTCGTAGTGTTTTCTTTTGCTCTCTCTTTTTTTTTTTTTTTTTTTTTATTGCTACTTCGACGGTTTTGTTTACATTTTTTTTTTACCTCTGTAAGAAGCAATCGAGAGTGAACGTTGAGCAACGCTGCTGCGACAAAATAGGTGGAAAAGAAATAAAGCCAGCGGGCAGATTAATGCGCAGGTATGTGGGCTTTTATCTTGTTTTTCACCTCCATTTGCACGCGAGTTCATGAGGCGACGCTGTCGCGTTGTATGATCCGGTATTAACGTATGTTTACGCGCTCGTTGAAAACAGGTGAACCTGTTAGGAAGAAATACATGCTTCAGTCACAATAATACTCATGGGGAGCTCGGAACTTCAAAGCCTAATAATATTCAACCTCCCCATCGCAGTTCTTTGCTTCGCACTTTCACTGACGAGTATATTGTGACTTTGATCGCGTTGTCGTATCTGCAATGCCTATGCTTCACCTCCTGTAGCTTGTGTGCACACTGACGGCAAGGCTACTGTGCGAGTGAAGACGCTCGGCTCTACGTCGGTCATGGCAACGGTGACAGTGACCATGAGCGGCCCCCTCCTCGCCACCCTCGTGTACGAGCATTGCAACAGCCCGGGCGATCAGGTAGGATCCTCAATTGCGGTCTTCTACAACGCCCAGTGGATCGCAGCCAAAAATGCGCTAAAGAGTACGCATGAGCCTGGAGATCTAATCCTAAGAGTGGCTTCAAAACTAGGTTATATGCCGGTTGTTTTGTAACTTCAAATGTTAGAGTGTACTCGAGTCATCAACCCTTGCTCAACCATCCCAACCTCCAAAGATGGTACAGCGCTTTGCTTGGGGATAGTACTAATATTGGCGAAAAAACAGTGAGTGTCCAGGCAGGCTGTGTTAAAGTATGACTAACATTGGCATGCAAATAGGGGGTATTCACTGGACACCGTATTTGAGTGCTCTGTTCGCTGGGCATGCTCAGCAAGAGCATGCCCAAGATCGGCAATCTTGATGGTGCGGTATGCACGTTGCAAAAGCTCGGTGGAAGCTCACCGTCAACACACACTGAGCAGCTACACACTGAGTTATGGCCGCCAGTGAATACCCCCTATAGCTGGACTTCCATTGATCAGAAATATATCTCCAAAGAATATAAACTCTGAATAAAGCTTGTTACCTACTATTCTCAATATTAGCATCTCCAGCTCGTTGCTCGCCCTCCCGCGGCGGAAATGAGAAGCGCTCTGGTGAGGGCCCCCCGGTTGTTCACCTGCTAAGTGGGCGCGGCGGAACTGTTCGGAATCGGGGCTAACGAAAAGTCGTTTCCGAATGCAAACAACACTCTTCACTGCCCCAATGTAGTGCTGCAGCCGGTATGGGATTGTACCTTATTAGAGTTTTAGTATTGCGTATACAGTGAAACCTTTTTAGAACGAACCCACGTACAGCGAATTATTGTCGATATCAAACTCGCAGAAAATTTAAATAAAAATGCATATAAAAGTACTTTTTATAACGAACACCACATTGGCTATATCAAACTTTTTCCCCCAGGAAGGCTTCCAAAAACGCACAAACACTCGTCTTCTAGTCTGTCCCTTCCCCCCCCGCCCCTCCCCCCCCCCCAAAAAAAAAAGTAGGAAAGAAAGTAAGTTCCAAAAGCTCATGCCGCCAGCAAAATGGAGCGAAGAGATGCGATTCAGAAGGGGAGAAAGCTAAAAAACACTGCATGCACACACAGAAAACAAAAAGCTTTTCATCCCAAAGCGGTTGCTTACGAAAAGAAGCAATTCAGTAGGGGAGATAAGCTAAAAAAACAAAATCTGCATGCATGCAAAAAAATAAATAAAACAATTCCAGCGCATTGTTACAAAGCGGAAGCGAAGAGATGAGAAAGGAAGAGAACCTCTCGCCTTACAACGAACGCATCGTGGAAGTTCATTGTAAATTGTTTTTGCTATATGGAACTGATTGTAGCGTTTCCTGCTGTTCGTTATAAACGGGTTAAAGTGTAGAAGCAAATGGAAGTGCTGTGCATTTGCATTAGAGTTGCGTGCTCCATGCTGTGCATGTGCGTCGTCGCCATGCTCCAATCCAAGACTGCAATCTTGGGCTCCGCGCACACGCAGCGTGGAATACGCAACACTAAAGGAAACACAGTGCTTGCGTTCGCTCGTATATGCCATACTAAAACCCATTACTGATTCTCCAGTTTCCAACACCAACTAAACGTGCTGCAGTGAGCAGACATTCAAGTGGGTAGGCGTTCCTTCGAAATGGAAAGCGTGAGATTGTCAAAGTAACGGTGCATAAAAATTAAACTAAATGTTTTGGGAAAATTAAAAATTAAAAAAAATCTTTTTTTTTTTGTTTTTTTTTTTTTTGGTTGGGTGGGGAGGGAGGGGGGCATTTGGTTTGGCAGGTTTGGTGGCGACTTTGGAAGTTTTGCCGATTACCAGAAGTCGCGACTTTGATAGCACCATATGCTTTACCCACAATTAATGTAATTTTGCATGGATTTCTAAAATTTAGTAGAATGTTTTTATTGATCTTAGACTATTTTTATTTTCTAACTTGTTAATTAAAAATGTTGCAATTGTAACCATTGATGATAATTTTCACATTTTTGATTGCCATACTTGTTTGCTCATTTGAAATTAGATTGTGAGCAACACATTACATTAGAGCTTTATAAACTATGTATTAAAGTATATTAATTGTATTATTATTAGTTATACGAATTGCAGCAATGTAGGCCCCCAATGAACACCACAATCACAAAAATAAGCCATTTAACCATAATAGTCATTCCAGAAAGATCACTTTTTTTTCTTTTTAGCAAATGAAAGACTGACATTGTTATCAAGAGAGACAAGCAGTCAAACACTGAATGTAATACATAAAGTCCTATGCGTCACACATTGTTTTAAAACACACACACTTCAGCTGTGTGTGTTTTAATCCGTCTTTGGGTTTTCGTAGCGGGAACAGCTTTTGTTAATTTATATGTTTTGGGAACATATTCTGAACTCATTACCTGTAGCGATATTTTGTAGAATTTTGATTGAAACTGTTATTCTTGTGCTGGGAGTAATATTAAAGCAATTAATCATCTAAATACTCAAAAACCCATTAAAAGTCCAGCAGTTCATTATTTCATATGAAAATTATCTGAGCGAGAAAAGGCAGCAAGAACCTACAAATATCAGCACTGATTTTTTTTCAACTAACACAAAATTCTATGTTACTTCTAAGGCCTATCAAAGTATGATACTTTAAAGGGAAACTGAACTCTCCAAAATATTTTGAAGGCCTGGATTGGGTATGTATGTCACAAAATAAATTTTCCGCAAACTTCTTTAGCTCAATAATTACGCTGTGAGACACATTTTGAGTTATGAGGAATCCAAAATTAACGCCTATACTGAGAAATTACGTCCAAAATAGAGGTTAGTTTCGGTTTCGTTCCAGAATTGAAACGTTCCTCCTTGCGTAAATATTATGCCAAACACCGTTCTTGTTTTCAGGATGAAAAGGTGACTTGCAATCATAACACCCTAGCTTCCTTGTAAAGCAGGAATAATTTGTGTCGCTGAGTGAAGCCAGCACACTAGATAGGCTCAGCAACTGGTCTACCGGCACGCATCTCTGACCCTCACTATAACTGCCATTTTGGAAAACGAGTGGTGCCACCTATAGCAAATTGGAGTCGCGAATAGGCCTCCAGCGTTGCCCAGGGCATACTTGCCAAGTTTTACGATTTGATCGTAAAGTTTCCGCTTTCCAGCGCTTTCTTACGGTTATCGTATTAACAATATTTGTATGATTTTCCGCACCCTGTGTAAAAAAAAAAGTTTTTGTTTAGGCTGCATCTCGCCTGGTTACAAGTTGGGGTTGGCAACACTGGTACATTGACTTGTATATGTTACTGGAACTTTTGCTCATGATCCCTTGAAACCATCTTTAGTACAAGATGTCGAAAAAAAAATACTTGCAAGTGTTTATTCCCAGCTACTCAACCGACTTTCCATTTATGAAGATGTCGCGTAGGGCGAAAGGTACTGATTTGGTAGTCTGTGTCGCTGCAATGTCAACATTTCACACGCTTTTCGCCAGGACATTCTGTGTCATCTGCATACAAAAAAGCACACGGACTCTGCAAAATTAGTTGAAACCAATGAGAAGCTTGGAGGGTACTTTAGTCGATCAGCGGATTACGACACTACCCGAACAGGATGCCTTTTACGGCATTTTTGATCGAACACAACGTGCCGTTCACAGTGGTTGTTGTGGAGACGTTAAAGAGCAAGAACTTTGCTCTTTAACGTCTTCGTTAAACCAGGCACAGGTGAAAGAGTTTTCAGCAAAGTGAAGAAGGCACACACGCATTTCCGCTCCTCTATGTCGAAAAAGACTCTTGAACAGTTGTTAGTTGTGAGATGCAGCCAGTCCGGAAAGTGCCATGAACAAGTGTTTGACAAGAACTTCCTAAGAAAAGCAAAAGCTGCAACTTCCTCAGTGTTGGCCCAACCTTCTACTTCTAACGAATAAGACATTTTGTGCAATGTATGATGTGTTTGTGCCCTAGTTGAGGCATTCTTCTTACCTAAACCAAGTTTTTGAAGAATAAAACAGTTTTCGTATTTCTTCACACAATTGTAGTGTTTTTTAGCATCCCCTGTAGTGTTTTCGGCATTGTAAGGTTGGCAGGTCTGCCAGGGGCACTCCGCAAAGGGACTCATCAGGACTTGTTTTGGGTAGTACAAACTAGAGCATCTCAAACTGTCACACATATACATTGTCCCCCTAAAAAATTTACAAAATGTTTTTCACCGCAAAAATAAACTATGTATTGTCAGACGCTCATTTTCTACCCAAATGCAGCGTCCGAGCCAGATCCCAACGTTTAAATACTAACGTTTATCTTATTCAAAAGTTACGGGTGACTTTCTGAAAATTTGAATGGGAAAATGCTGGCCGACGGAGCTCTTGAATACATGAAGCTCTATGGCACCAAAAACCGAAAACAGGCAGAAATAGACCCATTTTCCCATTGAAATTTTCAGAAAATCACTGTTTTTAATAAGATATTGATTCATGCTGAAAATTATGTGGTTCGGACCTCTAGAACTACATTTGGGCGGAGAATGGGCGTTCGGCATTGCTTAGTTTATTTTTACGGTTAAAAAAACCCCTGTAAACTTATTCTGGGGACATCCTGCCTGCTTTAGTGCGGAATGCGAGATCACGAGGAAAATACAAAGAAACAACAAAAATTTGAACGCCGTCAAAGCTAAGGCGCTAAGAGCGTGAGCCAAAACACACAATTTTATGCAATTAAAAAAAGGGGGGGGGGGGGGGGGGGGGGGGAAGGAAATGTACGGGACACCAGATGTTTTGACGTCGTCCTACAGAAATAAGATACGCATACTCTAGTGGTGGTGGCATGAATCTGGCACTTTTGATTGTCTTGCAGCATTGAATCTAACCGATTTCGGACATCGAAAAGTGTTTTTGCCGTTTTTCAACCCTACACAGAAAGAAAAAAAGCTCAGCGAAGGTGCCATAATTAGTGCAAGGCCGAATTAGGTGAGCTGGAACTTCCCAAAATGAGGGCACCACAGTTTGTT